AGAAATCCTTCTAATATGCTGAGTTGGTGCTCAAAAACATTTCTTATTATCGGTATTAAAAACAGCTGTGCTGCTTGATATTTATGTGGAAACGGAAAATAACAGCATCTGTTTGAAATTGAAATTTTGTAACATTATAAATGTCTTCAATGCCACTTTTTAGTATTTGAGTGCATTCTTGCTAAATAAAAGTATACATTTTTTTTTAAATAAAAACAATTTTACTGACCCAAAACTTTTGAACAATAGTGTATATATTTGTCATGTTGCTAAAAGAAACAATTAAATGATACAAGGCTGATGCAATGTTCATTACCACAGATAATGTGAAATAATTTCGTCTGTTTCTACAAAACAGAAACCTATTTGTTAAATTAAGCGTAGTATGGTACAGTAGAATTGCTTTTATTAATTTCTGTATGGTGGTTGATGTTTTTTCATTTTGTAGACATTTCCCTTTTTTGGGGTTGTACCTGCTATTCTAAATGAGTCAGGGGAGGAACTTGAAGGCCCAAGTGAGGGCTATCTGGTAAAGTGAATTTTGAAAATAAATAAATAAATGGATGTTCCATATGTTTTCATGTTTTAAACATCTTAACGCTAATTAATCAGCTAAATTTGATCCATTCGAGTTTAAACACGAGCGCTTCTCTTTCTCAGGTGTTTAAACAGCCTTGGCCAGGTGTGATGAGAACTGTGTACGGGAACCAGGAAAGGTTCGAAACCACCTACTTCAAGAAATTCCCTGGATATTACGTGACTGGAGATGGTAATTTGTGATGATTCATATTTAGTGTTACTATAAGTGGGCATCATATAATTGCGTGACGTGAGAGACGGTTTGTGCTTTAGTTAAGGGTGTTATGTGTCTGTCCAGGTTGTCGTAGAGATAAGGACGGGTACTACTGGATCACTGGAAGGATAGATGACATGCTGAATGTGTCTGGCGAGTAGAGGATGAGGACATTCGTTCATTTATTGTTCCTTTAATCCCAGTGTGGAGAGAGAAGATGTGTGGACTGGACCTACAGATGCTAAAATTATGCAGATTAATGAGTTTGGAAAAAATGCTAAAGATGAAGTTCAGGCCACACATTGCAATCATTTGTCTCTTGCCTGTTTTCTATCTCTACTGATATGACTCTAGAAATTTACTAAGCATTGAAGTAGCCTAATTACCAAAAAAATGGCCTGTAATAGAGCAAAAGCTTTGATATATTGGTGCTGGATCTGTTTCTTCCAGGGCACTTACTGAGCACTGCAGAGGTGGAGTCGGCGCTGGTGGAGCATGAAGCTGTGGCTGAGGCAGCGGTTGTGGGGAGGCCACACCCTGTTAAAGGCGAGAGTCTCTACTGTTTTGTCACCCTCAATGATGGAATCAACTACAACCAAAAGCTGGAGGCGGAGCTTAAAAAGCAGGGTACGTGTAAATAGTT